TCCTCAGATCAGACTCCCATCTTTCATTTTGCCCTGATCAATCCCGACCTGACACTAACAGGGCCCAAGTGGCGAGGAGGCCAGGGGTGATGGCAATGGTGACTTCTTTGGAGCGAACTGCCTGGATGAGAGACGGGGAGCTGCCGATGCTTGCCTACTCCTCCAAAGTCTGCTCCTCTGCCAAGTAGGTGGTGGAGAAGGTAGAGATGGAGCCAGGCCCCTTTCATTTTGCCCTGATCAATCCCGACCTGACACTAACAGGGCCCAAGTGGCGAGGAGGCCAGGGGTGATGGCAATGGTGACTTCTTTGGAGCGAACTGCCTGGATGAGAGACGGGGAGCTGCCGATGCTTGCCTACTCCTCCAAAGTCTGCTCCTCTGCCAAGTAGGTGGTGGAGAAGGTAGAGATGGAGCCAGGCCCAGCTGGAGGACAGTACCAGAGCCTGCTGTGCTCGCCGTTGTGTGAGCTCCTGGTGAGCTTTCAGTACCAATTGTGGCAGCCCGAGCACATGGTGAACAGAGTCCTGGAGTGCTTTAATATTCTGTATGTGGTGATCAACAGGGACACCTGCAGGGTACATGATAGAGTGTGTAAATTGGGCTGGAGAGATGGCTCAGCGGTTAAGAATACTGACTGTTCTTGCAGAGGACCTGGGTTCGAGTCCCAGCACCCCATGGCAGCTAACAAGTGTCTGTAACTCCAGTTCCAGGGGATCCAACAGCTGCACTTGCCTACACTTATACTACACATGAAGTAAAAATAATAAATAATTAAAAAAAAAAAAAGAATGTGTAAATTGCAGGATAGTCATAAGCTTCCTTACATAAATTCCTCAAGGCAGCCAAATGGCCTAAATTGGTGGCTTGGCCTTTGATCAGGCCTTATCAACTAGTCACTTCCCTGGCTGACAAAGACTGGTTATAGGGGCCACTTAACTCCTGCTGTGCAATAGCCTGCTCTGGCGGCCTTGTCTTACCAACTGATCACTACACAGACTGTTTCCAGAGTCAACCTGCTGGGCCAAAAGACAACATGCCTGCTCATCCTGAGAATAAAGCCTCAGGAAGGAGACCCTCAAGTATCCCAAGGACAGACACCGACATGGACCAAATGCCTACCACTGGGTTCAGCAGAGTCCCTATAAAAATCTAGATTGCTCTGCTTGTGTCTGCTGATGTCTGTATCCATGGACAGCACCTGGCCTTTGCTGTGCTCTCCTGAATTAAAGAGGACACATTCCTTGCCTGTTACAGGTCTGGCTCTGGTTCTTATTTCTTAATTTTAAACTCCTTCCTTTTTCTGCTTTCCTAAATCTAACAGTACAGGCTTCAGGTTCTCCATCAGCGAGTATGGGGCCCAACACCACATCTACTGCCTGGTCTCCATTGCTGGTTTGCCCTAGAACACCCTCTCACCAGGTTCTCTAGGCCCCTCATTCTGGGAGGGCTGTGATAAAAAGGGCTGACTTCAGAGCAATAAGGACTGGCTCTTATTAGCAGGGAATCCCAAAACCTGGTTGTTGAGCTGGGTTTGAGGCTAGACCCCCAATACTGGGCCCTTATAGAGGTGTCTCACAGGACACATCATCCCAGAGCACTGGGGATTGGGGACATGAGTACCTACCCTCAGGTCCAGCACTGGCTTCTCAGCTCTACAGGGTCCCTCCTGTTCTTCTGAACAACAGGGGGACCCAGGGGTTGAGGATGGCCTTGGTTACACATTGCCTTGTTCTCACTCTCTTTTGCAGCTGCACACCCATATCTGCTTCTCCCTAACATTCCTGTGATCTGTTATGTCACAAATTGAAGATTAGGTATTTTTTAACAGGGCCAGAACTGGGCGGGCTCTGGAAATATATATATATTTAATATTATTATGGCTAAAAGCTTTTGCAATGTGATGGTAATTAAGAACTTTGGAAGAGAAAACTCTGAGACAAGAGATAGTCCTCCCCTCCCCTGACCCCTTGTGGTTGCCCAGGATGGAAGTCTTTGTTTTCTGAAACTTTCACATGCCTGTAACCTTTGCTGCCATATGTTATCTTATTTAATTACCATGTGTATACTATGTACCTTTTGCTTACATTCCTCACATATGAGTATAAAAACCCTCCAAAACTTGAACAAGGGGTCTGACTCTTTTTATCTGTGGGTCAATCCCACTAGTATCAAATTAAATTTCCTCTCCTCACCTGACTTTGGCTGTTGGTATCTGATTTTTCCCTTAACAATATAAGGAGATATTTATTTAAAAAAGAAGAGAAAGAAACAACATTAAGGTAGATATTTGTTTTATAACAAGGGTTCTGGAAAAAAGACAAGCATATAGTTTTAAGATGTTTTTGACAAAAAGGATTTCATTTCTTATATTTATGTTTTTATGTGTTGTAAAAAAAAGAAAGAAAAAAAGTGAAAGAAAAACCAGTGCAGGTGATAAGCTTCAGAGTCAGTTTAGGATTTGTAGTCTCAGAAAAAAAAAACCATAGGCCCCCTGCTGGGTAAAGCAAACTGGAGATAAAGAAAATGGAGATTGTAGTTGTCTCTTGAAGTCTCTATTTACACTGTACTGATAAAACTGCTTTGGAAGACAAGATTAAACATTTCATTTATATTTCTCACAGCAGGACCTTGGAAGTGGGGTGGGGGGCGCTTGGGACCCACAGACCATCTTTCAGATCTTCCTGACTTTTTTTTCCCCGCTTTTCAACATTTATGCATTGCTGTTCAAAATCTAGGAGATTATAAAACATTTGTCAACGACAACAAAAAAGACCAAGAAGAAAACCTAAAACAAACAAACAAAAAAATCTATCTTAAATAATGATTCTCTTGGCTGGGTGAGGCAGGAGACAGAGAGCAAACAGATAGTTAGGGACCTGACCCAGTAGGTCCCCTAAGACCAATCACAGATCCTAGGACCGAGCTCCCGTGTTTGCAGGAGTTTTTTGGATCAAGGGGCCTCTGCTAAATCCATCTTTAGATAATAATTAGACTAGCTCATGGCAGGGCTCCAGTAGGGGGTGGGGGTGAAATTTGCCATCCTGTGCACTGGGAGAAGACACATCACATTTTGCCCCGTACCCACTATATTTTCTCTGTTCTGTAATCATACAAACAACTAGCCCCTTGACCAGTGTCCTCCTTTGGAACCTCTCCTGCTTAAGGATTTTCTTCTTCTCTTTCTAACTTTCTAAAACAGTGTGGGTTGAAGCCTTTCATCCCTCCCGATCCACAGGATGCAACCCTGGGGTCTCAGCAGCTCTCTACAGCTATTACAGTCTGCAAAAAAGCAACACAGAGGGAAGAATCTCAAGAAAGACTAGAGTGTGAGGAAGCCAGGACCAGTTCCACCCTGGGGAGAGAGGACTACTAGATTCTTACAGCCCCACCCTTCCCAGGAAAACGAAACTCAAAAGCTGCTCAGCCCAGGCTCAGCGCACTGGGAGGTAAAGACCAGCAAGCTGCAGAGACTGCACTGCCATCAGCTCCCCTTCCCTGCCTGACCATGGTGCAGGAGCTCAGAAACACCCGGGCCAGAGACCTGGACAAGTTCATAGAGGACCATCTCCTTCCAGACACATATTTCCGGGAAGAGGTTAAAGCAGCCATCAACACCGTATGCGACTTCCTAAAGGAAAGATGCTTCCTACAGACTGCCCACCCCGTGCGGGTCTCCAAGGTGGTGAAGGTGAGCCCTGCGATGCCCGACCTGACCAGGATGGGGTGGGAGAGGATTCCCTGGAAGCCAGGCTGCAGAGCTGAGCCTGCATGGCTGATGGCTCTCACCCACCCTTCCCATGTTTAATCACAGCTCTTCAGTGGGTTCTGCCCTGAGGCTCTACATCTGAGTTCTAGAAAGAACCCTGGCTAAGCTTATGCTCCTTGTCCAAGAGACAGGGAAACTGAGGCCCTGCTCAGGTTAAAAAAAAAAATTGCTGATGGGTGGCAGGGTCGGGACTCAATATTTCTACCAGTTCTTGAGCTGGCTAAGAGTGTAAGCAGGCATCAGCCACTGGCTGTGAGACCTTGAAAACTCACCTACCTGCTCTGTGCCCATGTTCTCAATCATACCTCCAGACATCTCACAAGGAGGCTCAGATTAGACCAGCATAAGCCCATATTTGGTATAGCAATCAAAGAACACAGGAGAGAGAAAAGACACCCTGGAACCAAGCCCCCACCTGCTAAGTGATTAGACTGATAAGACTCTCCCTGAGTACAGTTCCCATCAGTAAAATGACAACAGCACCTAACAGAGTCACTATGAAGGCTGTTTTATCTTTTCTTTTTTAAAGATTTTATAACAAAAATAGAAAAACGTATCAGATGGATGCTAAAAGCTCTTGCAATGTGATGGTGGTTAAAAGCTTTGGAGCAAGAAAAGCTCCCAGACAGGAGATCGAAATGGGGGGAGGTGAACAGGAACATTGCCTACCCCGACCCCTCCACTCTGCCCCCTGCGGTTACCTGGGATAGAAGTCTTTAATTTACAAAGCTACCACATTCCTGTAAACTTTGTTGTCCTATGTTACCTGTTGACTACTTATTTATGTACCTTTTTTTTTTTGATGTTTTTGAGACAGGGTCTCCCTGTAGTGGGGGCTGGCCTGGAGCTCACTATGTAGACCAGGCTGGCCTTGAACTCACAGAGATCCACCTGCCTCTGCCTCCTGAGTGCTGGGATTAAAGGCATGTGCCACCATGCCCTGGCCCAATTATTATTATTATTTTTTAACAGAGCATAGGGTAGATGTTTATTTACAGAACAGTGGGTGCCCCACATTTATAGCTGTGCCATAAAAGTCCACACTCAAATACAGAGCCTGTGACCTCGCGACAGCCCCACAAAATGGTGAGAGAGGTGCCTCTTGGTGTCCTCAGCATATATAGATCCTTTGCCCCTCCCCCCACATGCAGCTAAGGTCGACTGATTGGGTGGGAGGGGTAACTGACTCCTCCCACCTTGATGAGCATGGGAAGGAAGTGTGACTGTAACTTGCCAGCATAGTAGTCAGAGGACATTTCCAGGTAACACTCCACCCATTCCTCCAGCTCTTGCCTTCTTTCCACCAACATCTTCTACAAAAGTCCCTGAGCCTTGGAGGAGATGGTAGGTGTGGGTGATCTTCCTCCCATTGTGGCAAGGCACTGAACTTTTGGGTCTCTGCATCATCTGTTCTCCATGGGCTGTTGGCCAGTTTCAGTGGGATTGCATCTAGTATAAAAACACACACAGCAAGAAGCAAGAATATCTAAACAGTGGCTGCTATAATAACCTGTGGGTGT